GTGTGACAGAAGACCTTTAAAGGGTACCCACTTTTTCATTGCTATATAAAATAACAAACTATTGCATTGAAATTGTTGGGCTTGGTGTTCGCTTAGTCCCAATTTTGGAATTTGGAAGTTTGTAATATTTTGGTCATTATTTATCGTTGATTTTTTGGAAGACTCATTAGAAAATTGATGTAAAGAGTTATTTTCAGAATATTTGTTATCAGTTTGTTCTTTTTTTTTTCCTGCACAGTTGCACAGGAATTTCCCGTAAGTGGATCTGAATTAGGGGTGGGTGATATATCGATATTTTAAATATATCGAGATAGTTTTTAAACTCGATATGAATTCTGACATATCGTATATATCGATATAATGCTTATATTAAATTCTGATTTCGCCGCTTCGCTTGTTTACCTTCTCTCTCGTCGCCCGCGCCGCCGCCGCCTCCCTAATTTTGTTCGCTCGTGTCTACTTCACTTCTCACTACCACCGTGAACGCTGAAAGTTGGTCCCAGTGAAAAACTTCAAGCACCACGAACCTTTTCCACCATTTAAAGACAAAACCACCAGCAGCACATCCTCATATTCCAACGAGTCATGTCCTTTAGCCCGAAAGAAGCTAAACGAGCTGAGCTGCATGAGAAGTGCTGCTTATGCAAATGAGACATGCACTTAAGTTTCGTTTCTGTAAAATGTAAACACACGTGCGCAAAACTGCATTAAACACATTATTATCGCAAACGGGCTGATGTGGCTCTATATTCGTTATGCTTTATATATTGTAAAGTTTAGCAATGTAAAGTTTATTTATGCAGAATATTTTAATTAATAATCTGCTGTAGTGTCACTTGTACAATAGAGTTTGGAAACGTTGGGTTTGATCTGCAGTGGATTGTGGGATTAAACCTCAGAGCTTCTACTGCTGGATAATAACATGGATCTATTGAAATAAGGAACATCCTGAGCTTCTTCTTCTAAATGAGCTCATGGTTATGGTTCTGGTTTGGATAACAGAGTTAATGCAAAGATGAGCTTGTTTTGAGTTGTTTTATTTATGAATGAAAAGAAGGAAATATGTATTATTTCTTTTATTTTACAGTTAAATTATTATTTATGTAATTAGTTTTTTTTTTGTAATCTTAAATGTTCCTATATGAACTGCTGACCTCTTACACTTCAATTTTTAAAAAAAAGGACCTTGTGGAATTTGGCAGATTTGTTTTTGCAGTTTTCAGTTTTAGGGGGTTATTTTTTCTTGAACATATATCGAGATATATATCGTATATCGAGATATAGCAAAATATATCGAGATATATTTTTTGATCCATATCGCCCAGCCCTAATCTGAATGCATTTTTTTAAGGTGTTAATTGCCAACACTACACATATATAGATCACTGATACAGTTTATCAGCATTATTTTGTATCCTCTTTTTTTTTTTTTTTTAATCCAAAATAGGCCCTATCTTCTTTTGAATAGAATAAGGATTGCTAGATCACTGAAACATGCATGGATGACAAAACCTTCAGGAATGATTTTGATGATATTCTTGGTAGCACGTTTTTTGCAAAATGCCCTCTTTATAGTCTTGTTTATGTTAAAGGGACAGTTCGGAATTTTGGACATAAGGCCTCATTTCCTAGTGAGTCAGAGTGTTGGAAACGTGTGGAGACACTTTTTGAAATATTCCATCCAGTCCTTGTATTTGCAGAGGTCACTGGTGCTAGGCTAGTGCATGTCAATGGCCATAGTTATCCTGCCACTAAAAACAGTCTTACTCACTCCACAAAACACCCGAAGAAAATCTATTATTACACCAGACTGTCCATGTGAATGTCTGTGTCGACAGAATAATGTTAGAAATAAAACTATCCTTGCATCACATGAATACATATATTCTCATATATCAGTCCGCCGCTGCCAAGTTTTCTATCAGGAAGTACAACTCACTGCTGCCGCTCAGACATAAATCCTTCAAATGCAAGGTTGGTTTTACTTCTAAAATTATCGACACAGACATTCACATGGACAGTCTGGTGTAATAATAGTTTTGCTTCGGGTGTTTTGTGGAGTGGGTAAGACTGTTTTTAGTGGCAGGAGAACTATGGCCATTGACATGCACTAGCCTAGCACCAGTGACCTCTGCAAATACAAGGACTGGATGGAATATTTCATAAAGTGTCTCCACACGTCTCCAACACTCTGGCTCACAAGGAAATGAGGTCCTATGTCCAAAATTCCGAACTGCCCCTTTAAAGAAATCACTTAAAAAATAACTTTTCTTGTGGAGGGTCTGTCAAAATGTTATTGTTATAGATATGTTATTGTTTCACAGTCTGGCATTAAACATTTCTATCTTCATGGAAACCAAAACAGGCTAAGTTACAGGTCAGATCTGGGTATGGGTGACCCCGCTCACACTCAGAATGTTTGTTTTGAGCTATAAAACCACCTGTAACTGAATAAATGTAAAGTAGAGCTGTTTAATGTCATACTGTGGAACATTCCTTGCAGAGAAATTACATATCAGTAGAAACAAACAGATGACAGACCCCCGACCAAGAAGTAACAGTCCTTTAAAGTATTTTTTGAAAAGTTTAGAAAAAAATGTGTGCAGCCCTAACATACAGGAGTAGACGGATCTTTATTTCCTAGCCTGTAATGATCCAATGACTCAAACTGAAGCACTGACAAGCGGAGAGGAGGCTGTGTCCTATCGGCTTGTGCCACGTCTAAGCGGAGCTGTTCATTCATGAGAGAATCAGTCTCGGAGACCACAGCCCCGATGTGATGGAGCTGATCTGGACGGACACGGCGGTGGTTTGTGGACACTTCTAGCGGTTACACCCGTCTTATGGTTTACGTCTTCATTATGGATTGGACCGCTTTACCTGAAGTGAGATTTTGGTCTGCGATGAACGAGGATGGGAATGTTGCCATGACGACGACGGCGTTGGGTTACAGTCTGTTTACATGTGATGCGTGTGTGTTTCACTACTACGTCCAACCGGTGAGTATGTTTGCGTTAAAGGAGCTGTATGTAGGCCGAGCTGTTACTGTGTGAAAAAAGCTCTGATAGTCACACCTGAGACTGGGTTGTCACTAGGGTTGTCACAGTACTAATATTTCAAACTCTTTTTCTAAGGAATTCACTCGATACCACAATGAAGATAAAAAAGTGCAAATTTTTAGTAATAAATGTATTTTTACATTCAAAATAATAGAACTTTCTTTATCTTATCTCTTATGTTAATTCTGATAAAGCTCAAAATGACACTGGAAAACTCAAATTTTGTCCTGTTGATATGATTTTATTTTTTATTTTTTGCAGTATTGATACTTGCTCAAATAAGTATCTAGTTTCAGTATTGGTTTTATCCTTTGTCTTTATCTTATTCTTATATTAATTCTGATAAAGCTCAAAATGACACTATAAACTGTTCAGGAAAGCTCAGATTTTGTCTTGTTGATTTGATTTGATTTTTCATTTTTGCAGTATCAATACTTGCTCAAATGAGTATCTAGTTTCAGTATTGGTTTTATCTTTATCTTTTTTTATATAAATTCTGGGAAAACTCAAAATTACATTTTAAACTGCTCAGGAAAGCTCAGATTTTGTCTTGTTGTTATGATTTTATTTTTTCTTCTTTGCAGTACCTTGTTTCGGTATTTATTTTGGTATTTACTTTGATCACATTTTACGTACTTTTGACCACCTTAGTTGCCAGTGCCTAAACCTATGTATAGAGGCCACAAGCCCATGTACACACACACACACACACGTACACACACGTACACACACACAAACGTTTATGGAGAGTATATACTGCACCAGCACAGGCACTGATTCATGATGGCTGCAGGTGCTGGGGTTTAGCTCGTGACCGTTCAGATCAGAGAGAGGCTTTTTAGCTCTAAACCAACTGGATTTCGGCTTTGAAACTGGCAACCCAGATGAGATGTGACACTCATTCTGCTTTCCGAGTGATGTATTGTCAGACTGAACGATCATCCAGTCTACAGTTCCTATTCTGTGTTGCACTGATTTACCCCTTGGTGCGAAATACTGAAAATACTAATTGTCAATTTTTTCATATTAATTAGAACTGCAACTAGAAATATTTTCCTAATCAATCCAGCAATTATTCTTTTGAGTTGTTTAGATTGGGTAAGGCTAAAGTGGTGCTGAGTTTGAGGACATTCTGATGGAGTATTTTTGATTGATATTTGATTAGTAAATTTGTATAGTTGGTTAGTTGTGATCAGTCGATTTGTCAGCCTTAGAAACTGTACACAAACAGACAAAGCTAACCAGAAGTGTTCATGGCGCCATGTTCTCTAGCTCTAATTGACGTTACATTGAAAAATTGTCCCTCGTCTCTCTGTAATTTCTGCTGTGAGCTTCATCATTTTGGTTTTAAATGTTCATATTAACCAGCTCTACATGATCCATGGGTTTTTATTTCCTTTTATTTCGTCAATAAATCAGTTCTTAATCCAAATATGGAACTCATGAGCTTCATTTGACTGGAGCTGAGCATTATGGGTAACTTCACACTCCCTTAGTCCACTTCTTTATACAGTCTGTGGTCAGCTCTAATATCATGTTTTTGCAATCCATCCAAAATGTGCTAAAACTGGCCTGAAAATGTCTTGGTTCTGTTTCAGATATTGCACAGATATTTAATATAGGGCGATATATATAATGCAAAAGTACTAACATATCATCTTCCAACTCTCTTTTATGACCTTTTTTTTATTAGATTGTATTGTTAAAACATGTTAGCATAACTTACATCCTGCAAGTATCACTTTACTTTATCAAAGATTTCCCACAGGAACACAGTGTCTCTGGCATGGGTCCTATTGAAATGAATGCGAGACCCTGCAACAGTATCTTCCTTTGTGCTCTCAAGGACATATGTTGTGTGTAACTGAATGTATAAGTGTGCTTTTGTCCTCCCCCTCATTCTTTCCTAAGTATTAATCTCACTCTGGTGTGTCTGTGCAGGAATCCGCCAAGGTTTCAGACCTCAACCCCAATGCCAAAGCATGGGCCAACCACATGTTTAGCCTGGAGCCCAGTGGCAGCGCAGACAGCACACAACCATGGAAGGACGGCTGCGAGAGCCCAGCCGACACCGGACCAGAGGGTGAGTGGTTCTGGACGTAGTAGGGGTGGGACGAGATACAATTTCCATGAGACGAGACACTGGGGATGTAACAATAACTGAAATATCATATCGCTAAAAGTCTTGCAATAATATCGTGGGCCGTCACAATATATCAAATTACAAGTCTCTTTGATTTAATTAATAGTTAAGATTGAGTTAGAAATACAGATGGAACATTGTGGGGCCCAACCGTTATGAATTTTGTTTTCTGCCGATATGATACCGATAAAATGGGAGTTGGAGCTGCCAATAGTCAATATAATCACCAATATATTTAATGATTCACTACAAATCGTGAATTGTTTAAAAAACTTAGGTTTGACTCTAGTGGATTTAAAATTGGGTTTGTTTAGGCAACATTTATTGTTATTCTGCCTCTTTATGTCATATTTACAGACAGTAGGTCGGCCTAATGGCATTTTTGCATCACAGTTTAGCCACTAGTAAAGAAAGTAAACTACCGCTATTAGCCTTTAGCCGTAAATGTTTGCACGTCGCGGTAATTAATTATACGTGTAAATGTGGATCATTCACACCTCTATTCACAGCTCATTTACATATCAATGCAGGTTCAGTAACAAATATACAGCCAATGTAGTCACTTTACAGTCAGCCAATAGAAAACAGCCTGGTGTGAGAGCTACAGCAGCTAATCTCTAATCAATGGGAAAGAACCAAAAGTAGTTTCAAAACAGACACATTTCCAACACTCACCACTCACACAGGCTCCTCCTCACATCACAAGTCTGCACTAATAAATGTCCTTTTAATCCAGACTCAAACCGATTGTCCATAAAAAGAATATATCTGTGTCTGTGAGTGTAAACAAGCACACGTGAGTGACGTGACTCTGTGGTGTGTTCAGGGACAGTACAGACACACACACAGACAAATGACTCTGCAGAAAAATACTGATGTGGAACCACATATTAGGACATTTATCTGACTGTAAACTGGATTAAATGAACATAATGTAGAGAGTCTAAGCTTTACTACAAGGTATACCATGCCCATGTGAAATATCGGCCCATATCGGCAAAATTTAGGGCGATCGTGATATGTTTCTAAGAGCCCATATTGACTGATAATATCGGCCAAACGATATATTGATTGGGCCCTACTACATAGACCATGATCATTTGCGCCGTCTCAGTGCAGACTTGACATAACAAAGTAACTGTTATAAGCACTTTTAAATCTTAATTCTTTGGATTATGACATTGGCATTTTAAAAGAGAAAAGTAGCATTTTCATTTTTATTAGCCTCCACAAAATATCGCAACCTAAAAACAGCCCAGCTAATGTCTTACTGACCAAGCTAAGCACAAGATCTGGAGACTGGTTCCTTGGTGCCTATTCACCCCAGCACGATTTAATGATGGGTCAAATGCAGAGGACAAATACAGGAACAATAATGTATACAGAAAAAAGTTTTAAAAATTTGGCTATTTTTGAATATATGTACTGAACTTTTAAAGGATCCATATTGCGTTAATTTCTGATCTCTTAGGATGTTGTTTCCTCATCAAAAACATACCTAGAGTTGTGTTTTGTTTCTTTCCTAAAACATTTAGTTCCACCTTGTGATGTCATGTGGTAATACAGGAAGTGCTTTAAAAAAGGACTCTGGGTCGGGTCACGTTGGTCAGGTGCAGTGATCGCAGTGGCCAAACATGCACCGCCGTGGGCCTCTTAGTACCGTGGTGATTCATTTTTGCGGTTATTGCGACAGCCCTAGGAATGACCAATCTCTACTGAACTAAAGATAAAAGTAGCTGTTCACTTGAAAACTTTTCCTTCATGACATGACAAAAGGTGGAGTATTTTGAGCTTTGGAGATGAAGACAGATAAAGGTTACTGTTCTTGAGGAGGTGACACCATTCTAACATAGCTTAGGGCGCACAAGAGTCAATTTAGTGTAATATAGCACCTTTAAATGGGTTATAAGTACAGGGCCTTACCGATCTTCAAATATGGGCGTTTGCAGAAATACCTGCTATCAGCCAAATCTATTTACTGTGGCCGATATTCCAAGTGCGAATGTTATACCTCAATATAAAACACAAAATGATTCCTAGTCATCACGTTTTAAAAATAATACATTAGAGATGGGTGATATGACGATCAAAAAATTAAAACTGTGATCTCATCCCTCTTACAATCTGATATATGACCATAATCCCCACCTCCTCATCATACTGGTGGGCCTCTGTCATGCTCATGAGTGACAGGTGGGCTTTCAGAACTTTCAGAAGCAGCAGATGACTTCAGTTACCTCCATAAAGTCAATATAAACACTCTACATGAAGTCTCCGTGATGCTCTAAGAAAACTGTGATATTACATTTTTAGAGTTTCACCCGCGGCTACAATGGTTTCTAAATTTAGAGACACGTAAAATCATTTATGCAAATAGTTCAGACTGCGTTTGTGTCTGTCTGTGTCATTTTCAGATGCCTCTTTAATCATTTAGAGCCAATTTTCTGTAATCAGATGTGAATATTCTTTCTTTTACAATAACGTCGTAATCATTCACTTATGAGCAAAGGTGGGTACTACTCAGTTACATTTACGTTTAATTGTACTTTTCAGAGTACTTTTCTAGCAGCATACTTGTACTCCGACTTGAGTAATATTATTATTGAAGTAACAGTACTCCTACTTACTGTAAGTGCGATTTATTGCTGAAGAAAATCTAGACAATAATACATGAATGACAATACTGAAACTAATTTATTCCACTTACACAATAAAGCTTAAGTAGAAGTATCTTTTTAAAAAAATTCGAAATGTATAATATAGTTAAAAACACAAACTGCAAGAAAGAAAGTGCAGAATGAGACACTGCAGTACTTGTGTCTATGAGTCATAGAACTAGATAGAATTTATTCATTCCTTAATTTCTCAAATCTTATTGTATAACAGGAAAATGACACAAAATTCCCCATGAGTACAAAGAAGAAGTATCATGATGTATACTGACCCCTGAAAATGATTGTTCCGTCTAACATACCGTATTTTCCGAACCATAGGGCACTCATAAGCCTCCAACCCCATCAAAAAATGACTGCGCGCCCTATACACGAATCCACTCGGGTGTCCCTGCACGACTTCAGTAAACTACAAAGCCGCAGCGCACGCAAACACACACGGAGCAGACAGCGACCGCACGGAGAAACACACCCGCAGACACACTCATCACTCCACGCAGACGAGGAACGGAACGGAGGAACGAACCGAAAAAGCTAGCGCAATGTGTCACTTCTAGACACAACTGAATAACTGAGTCACAAGTGAACAAAGCCGAGAGTCACCGTGAATGTGCCAAACAAAGTACCACTGACCCATCGAACTGTTGTGTTTAATGTGCCTTTTAGTCCAGTGTGGTTTATATGTGCAAAAAGTTTGAAAATAGATCATTCAATGACAGTGCGCCTTATAATCCAGAGCGCCCTATAGTGTGTAAAATACGGCATATTGAAGTCAATACAGTAATTACCATGACAGGCCTTTATGTTGACAATTGCATAGTTGTGTTTCTTTCACCGCTTCTACTCAATTTTGTGTCTATTCTTTAAAAATACCAGATTTAGTTCATCATTTCTTGTTTTGCTCTTCCATTTACTTTGCAGGTGCATTGTGCATTTTGGGTAGAAGGTCCGCCACCTGCTTGTTTCCATGGAGATTACTTTGTCTGAAATGCTTCACAATGTGGCATTAAGCATATCCATCTCCCATTCATTCAGTTATGGATGTTTTTTTTACCTGGCCATCCTCTGCACAGATCTGACAGTATCCTGGTCTGGTGGCATCTCCTGCTTGTTTTCATGGAAATAGTTACATTTAATGCCATACTGTGAAACATTCCAAGCAAACCAATTACATCGTCATGCAGACAAAAATATAGGCAGACCTTCCACCAAAAAAGTTACATAGTGCACCTTTAACTTCAAATTATAAATCAGATATTACGTCCTGAGTAGTTCTTTTCCCAAATACTTTTTACTCCTACTTGAGTAATTTCTTTGACCACTACTTTGTTCTTCTGCTTGAGTAATATTATTTTGAAGTAATATTAATCTTACTTAAAGGTGCACTATGGAACTGTTTTTTGATTGAGATTGTATCTATGCATATGTCATTACTCTGTCTAGAATGTTCCACAGTATGACATTAAGCAGCTGTGCTTTACATTTATTCATTCACAGATGGTTTTATAGCTAGAAAATCCCTAGAAAAACAGGCATCCTGACTGTGAGCCTGGTCGCCTCTCCACAGATCTGACCTGTAACTTAATCTGGTTTGGTTTCCATGATGTTAGAAAAGTTTAATACCATACTGCGAAACATTCCAGACAAAGCAATAACATCTCCACAGAGAAAATCATCTGACAGAGCCTCCACCAGAAAAGTTACACACTGCACCTTTAAGTACTTCTTTTGTGTAACAAACGACTGCTCTGTTTAAAATCTGGAAAACTTGACTTGGGCTGATTCACCCCTTCACATCTGCTCTGCTGTTTCTAATTTCATAATGAGTAAATAAAATGTATCAAGGATTTTTTTTAATTCTGAAGAAAGGACAGTTTATCTCCCAAGAAACACGTGGACTTATTTAAATTTTGACCCCTAGTCTTCTTTATAGATCACAGCAGCACATGTAATAAAAATTTGATCCATTGTGTCCATTGCTTCAACTCAACATCAACTTTTTGTAGATATGTTTGACTTCATTTTCACCACAAAAAAAAAAACATGACTAATGAATACATCGTTAAACTAGTAAACATGCTGGGGAGAGCACAGACTACAGCTACTAGAACTAACGATTTTAGTAGTTTTCTTGTGATAAAATGTTTCCATTAATCCACTAGTCAAATAATTATGGGTAGCTCATTTGGTAGAGTAACCGTGGTAGCCCCACTCTTGATATAAACATTAGTGGTTAAGCAGTAGGGCTGGATATCATAAAGTTAGGGTTAGGGTGAGGGTTAGTTATAATACATACCACAATACATACAGCACCCTACGATACATATCTCGATACTGTTCACTTTTGGTTCGATACAATATATTTCAAATTGATTCAATACGACTCAATAAAAAATAAAGGCTAATGCTGCCTCTGATACCATAAGTCTTTGTTGAACCACTTTGTGAGCAAAGTTAGTATGAAACTCTCCCATTTTACTCATCAAAACAGCGAAAAGGTCAAATGTGTCGCATAAGTTGCGACATGAGTTTCCTTCCACTAAACACCAAAACTGTAGCTCTGTAACACAATAATTTAGTAAAATAAATAGGGGTGTAATGATATCCAAGTGTCACGATACGATATCGTCACCGTATGATCCTCACGGTACGATATTTATTGCGAATATCATGGGAAAGCTCATGATTAGGAATGTAACAATATCCAAATCTCTCTGTATGATATTTTCACGATATACATCTCACGGTACGATATTTATTGTGATATTTTGTTCAGGCCAAACAGCTAAAACTGTTAATATTATGCTACTTTTTCCTCTTAAAATGCCTTGACAAGACTTAATCCAAAGAATTTCGACTTAAAAGTGCTTAGAACTGTTATTTCTTCTTGTAGTCTGCACTGAAATCTAGCAAAGGATCATGGTCTATGTAGTTCCCTCTGCCTTTTTTTTTTTTTAGCTATGGTTGCACCATAACTCTTCATTTAAGCAAAGAGACTTTTAATTCGATATATTATGATGGTCCACGATATTATTGTGAGAAATTTGACGATATGATATCACAATATTTCAAGTATTGTTACATCCCTAAAAATAAGCCAAAAAACTCTCTTGCCGATATATTGATACAGCAGCTCATTATATCAATACTGTATCATCACATTAAATGATATTTTGATATTTTTGCACATCCCTTTTGAGTGGTCAGATCCACTGACCCACAGGTTGGTGGTGTGATTCCAGCTGACACAGATAAATGCTGTGTTTGTGTCCTTGGGCATGACACTTTAACCCCCTCGCCCCCAGTGTGTGTGTGTATGAGTGTGTGTGAAGTGATTTGAGTGCCTTGAAAGTGGAAAAATGCTATATAAAAATGTGCCCAAGTAAAGGTTGAATCAAAATCGCAAATTGATCTATACAAACACATTCTGAAACTCTGATTAGTTTTTTTGTCCATATTTCAGTCTTAATGTCAATTCTAAATTCTATAAAATATAAATGAAAAATCCTATTGCAGTGCTTGTTGGAAAAAGTGAAACAACTATGATACATTTTTTATACTATTAAAATTCTTAAAATGTGGTTTGATTTATATCTCTCCAGTTTTCCCCCTGAAAATTGAACGATGTGACTGTTCCAGGGTATGAAGCCATTGAGGAAAAGGCCTATAAGGAGCCCCTGGTGACAGAGCCAGATGAACCTCCGCCAGCCCCAGTGATGCTGGAGGACCCTGCTCCAGTTCACTCGTCCTCCTCCTCCTCCGAAGCCTACACAGAGTTCAGTGACCCCGGGCAGACTGTGCACACAGGTAACACGCCGTACACAGCTTCACTGCTCTAGAATGGTTCTGTCATTCCACACTGCTATCGCTGGCTTTCACATGATGTTACAGCATTCTATTGGCCAATATTAATTAATACAGATGATCTTAAATTAAAATAGTTAAAATACAAATTAAGTTGTAATAGAGTGAGTTCTCGAGTTTAGTCAATAATTGTGAATTTACCTTTTGAATGTATATTGTGATTGTCATACTCGCAATATAGCAACAAAAAATCTAGCTTTCATTAATATTTAATTTTGCTGCCTCATTTTTGTATTAATTAAAATCGGCCTGTAGAATGTTGTGATGTCACCTGAAACCAAACAATAAGAATCACAAGGCTATTGAGTTTTTTATTTTTTCTATATTCTCTAATTTATAACGTTTGGTACTTTTATTCCATAGAATTCTTGTTGTAATTGTAGGCTGTATTTATAAATGGGCATACTTAACGTACTAGCTGTTCCGTTGCAAATAGGAAGTGTTCATGGGGTTCGCTTGCAGCTCCTTCGACTTTTTTTTCCCATTTGACTTTACACTGAAAAATTGTCATCCCTCTCTCTGTAAGTGCTGCAGTGAGCCTCATAATTTTGGTCTTAAAATGTTTGTATTAACCCGCTATACATGATCCTGGTGTTTTTGGTTTTTTTTTGTTTTGTTTTTTTCACTATTCTGTTTTTAAATAAATTACTATTCCTAATGTGGGACACGGCTCCAGCCCAGTTTAAGTTTTATAATGTGCGGTCCTGTGTGAAATAGCAGAAGTATGTAGCTGTATTATAATATATCTGCCATTAAGAGCTCTTGTGTCTGTGCACAGGCAGTGACACACAGCCCGAATCTCCTCAGGATGGACTGAGGGAGCACCTGAAGAAGACACTGGAGTTCTGTCTCTCCCGGTGAGGTTACGCTGTGAATCCATGACCACTGTGGATCCATGATGATAGTCCAGTCATTCATGCTTTTATTCATTTTTTCAACTGTTGAAAAAATGTACAAAAACATTTTACTTTTAGTTTTTGCACTGCATCTGTCAAATCTCACACTGGGTTCAGACCACATGCTGTGGAGGTCCTGTGGAGCTCTGAATTCTTTCCGTAGGGAGTCTATATCTCCACCACAGCATTTCCCTTAATCAGTGAATAGTTATCGCGTGAACAGGTGGTCTCACATGTACACCTTCAAAGATGGTGGCACAACAGCAGAGAAGCAGCAAAACCACTCTGACACTGCAGTCGCAGCTGGACCTGGTGCAGTCAGCGTGAAGTGTCTCTATAATTTTTGTCCAAATCTTTTCTAAACTTTTCTGTGCTGTGTTTTATGTTTTCAGGGAGAATCTGGCCAGTGACATGTACCTGATCTCACAGATGGACAGTGACCAGTATGTGCCAATTGTGACTGTGGCAAACCTGGACCATGTCAAGAAGCTCAGCACCGATGTGGAGCTCATCGTTGACATTTTACGCTGTAATTCACCACTTTAATATTTATTTATGGCTCTAACATCAATAGTTGCAAATAATCGACCACAACAGTGAGACAAATTGGCTCAAAAAACCCATATCTGATCATCACAATGTTACTTTTAGCCAGAGGTTTTGCTTTAGGTAATTCCATATATGTACTCCTTCTCTGCAGTGTGCATGTTACTTTATATTCACCACTTTATTATTTAAGCTTCTCTGTCTCATTCTAAAAGCAGAGAGTGACATCTGGTACTTAGAAACTGGACATATTTTGTTTTTCTTACAATTGCTGTACTCAACTTTTTTCTAGTGTTTGGCCCTAGCTCAGATATGTTATAAAAGCAGCTCTTGGTGTCCAGATGAGACTGATCTGTGCTGTCTGTATCTGCTTATAAAGCAAATTATTGTCCAAGAATCAGAAAGTGCACTGTTAGCATACTAGCTTTACTGTGATGACAAAGCTCCCCTCTGGACTCTGGAAGTTGTGCAGATTAACTTGTTACAGTGAATAATTAGGATGTGTTAACAAAGTGGGAAATAACTCAGGATCACTGCATATTGTTTAAAATGAAGTAGTTCACAGTAACAGTAACATTCAGACACTGGGTGTGTTTAATAACATTTACCAATTACCAATGATGAAACAAAAATGAAGAGAGCTTTTATATTTTTTTAACATTTGTTTTTACGAATTTATCCAAGCTCTACACATTTGAATACCAAAAAAACTAAAGTTGGTGAAGCTTAATTAAAGTCTTAAATTGTGTGTAAAACAGACGAGCAGGTAAGTCTCCGCTGGATGCATTTTAACAACCCCTCATGGGAAATCAGACTTGCAGTGATAATGATTATAGGTTTGGTTTGTGGCTTTTTAAGCAGCTAACTAACCTGGTCTTAAGGGTTTGTGATTTATTTTTTCTCTGAAGTGGAACATAAGGCTAATTGGAATGTTTAGGTTTAAAAATACTATCATATAATTAGAACGTAGGTTACAAGCTTTGCACAATTTATTATAGTAATGAATAATATAATATAATAATAATATTGATGGATGTTTATTTTTATTTGTGATCCTTCTGATTGTATATTTTTTCTCTTTACAGCTTTGCCATTGGTCCAGGTGGATGAGAAAGGGGAGAAGGTGCGGCCCAATCAGAACCGCTGCATCGTCATCCTCAGAGAAGTCCCAGAGAGCACTCCTATAGAGGTATGGACACTTCATCAACACTGCACCAATCACTTTGTAAATTACTGACCTTTAAGTTCTCAAAAAGAAACTAAAAATCCTATATTATACAAAATTGTGAGCCATAAGCCATGTTATAATGTTGCTACCTCAAAAACGGACCAGGAGTTGTTTTGTTTCACTCACACATGTTTGAGTAATCCTTTATTATTAGACCGTATACACCTCCAAAACTCAAAATGCTTTGTTCCACCTTGTGATGTCATGAAGCTGTAGTTTTCAAGTTTGCGGCTCCTTTTACCTTTTAATTCAGTAGAGCTCGGCAATTCCAGATCTGAAATTATCCAAATGATTCTAGTGAAGGTGTATGGAGTTTAAAAACACAGTGGAGCACTTCCTGGATTACGACATGACATCACAAGGTGAAAAGGAGTGTTCTGTTTGAGAGAAGAACTTAGCCTAAATATGCAGGGTTTGTGTGTTAAACATGTGAATGAAACAAAACACAACTCCAGGTCTGTTCTTGAGGAAGCAACATTATAAGATAGATCAGAAAATAATATGGGCCCTTTAAGAAAAATTATGATTCCTTTATTACTGTAATTGTGTATTTTATTTTGTTGAAGGAGGTTGAGGCTCTGTTCAAAGGGGATAATCTACCGAAGTTCATCAACTGTGAATTTGCCTACAACGACAACTGGTTCATAACGTTTGAATCAGAAGCAGATGCACAGCAGGTAGGACGTGCTCTGAAGCCCTCATGAATGTGAAGAATCTAAACAACAAATCTAACACTGAACACTGTGTCTGCTGCAGGCATATCAATATCTCCGAGAGGAGGTCAAGACCTTCCAGGGAAAGCCTATTAAGGTACTTATCATAAAGACTCACATGAGGTGTAACAGTGAGCAGGGACTTCCACAAGATAATACCCATTTGTTTTTTTTTCATTGACTAAAGAATAAAATAAGGGTTTGATGGCTTGATGGGAATATGGAGTGTGTTTATTAAAGCTACTATCTGTAATTATGTTTACCAGTAGTTTGCAGATGTGACACCCTTTGTTCAGACTCACCTGTGTTCTCTGGTCTTCTTCTGTCAGGCCAAAGTCGGTACACTGTCAGACAGCAGTAACATAGATACCATCTAGTGGTGATGCGTGAGAATGCAACAGGAGCGGGTCTACTAATCTATTTTTAAAACTAGCTTTAAGACACATCAGAACCAGAAAAGCTTGGACATTGTCAATGAACAAAATAGAGTAGGAATGTCCTTCAGTGATTATGGTGCAAAAAACAATGAAGAATACGATGACAAAAGCAAAATATATTAATAATAAAAAGGTAATGAAGTAATAGTTTATTAAAACTTATAAAACTTTCAGAAACTCTATAAACACCAAAGTTATGAATGGATTTGGCTGCATTTATTTATTTATTTTAATATATACTTTTGAGCTGTAGGCTTGGTTATCACAATGTCTATAGTTGGTCAGTCAATGAGGAAAATACATGAGAATTTAATTACTGACATGAGAAAAGCCTGTCCACTGCTCCACCCCATTTCCCTTGTATCTAATGTGTTTATCTTTTGTTTGCAAGTCTCGGTGTTGCTGTACATGTGTCTGGCAACAGTAGAAAATTCTCCTTGTAACACTCAAGCCTCTCTTTCTCTCCTTCAGGCGAGGATAAAAGCGAAGGCAATCGCTATCAACACTTTCATGCCAAAGAACGGTTACCGGCCGGTGGAGGTGAACCCGTACGCCCAGCGCCAGTACCCGTCCTACTACATCCCCCCAATGTACAGCCCCCAGCAGCAGTTCCCCCTCTACAGCCTCATCACGCCCCCCACCTGGTCCACTACGCACAGCTTCATAGACCCTGCACTGGTAAGAGACATGCCCTCCAAGTGTAAATATGGGTTGGCAAAAGTATCAAAAATCAGATACTAATTTATACTGAAACTAGTATTAGTTAATTAAACACTTGGGTATCAATAGTAAAAAAGCCACAAAAGTCACAGGACAGAACTGATCCTTTTCTGAATAGCTTTAGAACGATCTTGAGCTGTATCAGAACAAGTATAAGAGCACTTCAGTTCTACAGTTTCTTTATTTTGTCTATAAATGATTTATGGACCTAGCTCCAAATTCTCCCCATAACCACTAGCATCGTTATGGTTCATAGTGATGTATTAATATGAGCTGATTCATTAAATATTTTTCTCCTCTGATTTCAGGTTGCACCTTTTCACAACAGCCAGTTCCTAAATGGCTTCAATGGTTTTAAACCAGCCACGACTCCACTCACTGTCCGACACTACTCCCCCAGAAACAGGTCTGTGCCCCAGCTACACACACAGCTCACTCATGACTTATTAACGCTTTAAAATGACTACATCTTTTAAAGGGAAATAAACTCTAAATTAACCTGTTTTGCAACTAGACTGTGTATATGCGTTTGAATAGCATCATCTACTGTTCCTAGTCATTTTTGGGGCACTTTTAGTGCAGCTTTGTGGTAAAAATTCTACAAAAATGATTGTTGGCTTCAGTGGCCACTGTCACTTTGAGTTATGGTGACATCCCTCTGCCCTGATCACAACCACCTGACTGCAGGAGCGGAGTTTGAAATGTGGCCGGCTGTTGGACCAGACCCCGCCCCTCCTCCTCTCTCACTCTTTTCTTTAGCCCATGTACTGCCCAGTTTAACGGCTCTATTTGAAATGTGTTTTTGGACAGAGTTTAGGTGTTTAGTCACACTTTAACTAGTCTTTAAAGCACGAAGAAAGACTTAATTCAGAATGGTCCTGTCTTAGCAACTACTTGAAAGAGTAAGGAGTTAGGATTAGGGTATTAAGTATTTACTAAGTCTGAATCCTTCTTGATAAATGATTTGTTATTTTAAAAACACACCTTGTTTCTTGTTTTATACACTGTCCTGTTTATTGCATTTTATCATTGTTATTATGCTTTTTAGTAATTTGGTGGGACGCCAGTGGCAAAAACTGTCGTTGTGTCCTTAGGCAAGACACTTCACCCACATTGACTAGTATGAAAGTGGTGTGTGTGTGTGAGTGACGGTGGTAGATGGAGGGGCCGATGGTGCAGTTTTGAGTGAATGAATAATGAAGTGTAAAGCTCTTTGGGTATCTTGAGAAGCGCTGTATAAGTGCAATGATTAATTAATTCATTCATTAAAATAAATGTATTTGTTCAGAACTTTTAGCAGTGATGATGTGTTTTTAAACCTGCTTTATAAACAGACCTTGATAAATCTGACTAGTGTTGGCAAAAGTATCGATAAACAAATACTAATCGATATTAAAACTAGTATTGAAACTAGATACTCATTTAAGAAGGTATCAATACTAAAAACGTCACATTCACAGGACAGAAATGAACCTTTCCTGAATGTCTTTAAAATGATCTGGAGCTGTATCAGAACAAGTAGAAGAGCACATAGACTAGTATACACACATGGACCACTGAGGAATTACATAGATATAAGACCACATGGGAATATAAATAATATACCATAATATAAATGGAAGTGCTATGATTTAATGTTGAAAATCACATTCTATTTTATAAAGTTGTGCTTTTTATTGTGGTATCATAAATACTATCTAATATAGACTAAATTCCTTGAAATTTGAATATTGTGATGATATTAAATTTGCTGTCGTTTTTCTCCAGGAATCCCAGTAAATCTCACTTGCGGCCGGTGGTGCCCACAGCGGACCGCAGCCCTGGACTTTTGGACAGCCCCGGCCTGTTCCCTTCTTTTCCCGCCGAGAGGCTGAACGGAGTCCGCTCCAGCCCCCCCACCCGCCTCCCCAACGCCCAGACCAGGACCCGGCCCCCCTCCACCACCCCCTTCCCTCGCAGGGACACTGTGGGCACAGGGCGGGTGTCTGAACCCACCACCAACGACTTTGGCATGGGAAGAGGAAGGTATGTATGAACCACTGGAGTAACACAAGGGCTGATTTGGGTTGTCTGATATCCAAAAAGCTTAAAGTGCATGTGACAGTTTTCATGTTTTTCTAATTATGATTATTACTTGGTTTGGTGGGATAATATCTGTGCTAAATATTTAACATAGTTTTACATCATTTAAATAACAGTTTGTGTAAAAAAATCTGAGAAGCAGAATACAAAAAAACTAAAACAGAATACCTCTGCTATGTCATCAACATGGAAAATTCCATCCAAAATTCAGAGACAATTTACGAGCAAGGAACACAATTTTGTGACAGATTAAAGGGCCTATGTTCAATTTTTTTATCTGTTATAATATTTCCTCATCACAAACAGACCTAGAGTTTGTTTTTTGTTTCATTCACACATAAAAACTGCATATTTAGGCTGAGTTGTCTCAAACAGAAAATACGGTTTCGTCTTATAATGTCATGTGGTGATACAGGAAGTGCTCCACTGAACAAATAAACTACTAAAAATAAAAGATGACTCAAACACGTGCAAACAACAAAGCACAACATTATAACATGGCTTAAAGGTCACAAGAGTCAGTTTTGCATGATGTAGGACCTTTAAACATTGATTTGACATAGATGTATATTCATCTAATCAACTGTTTAACTGTAAACCTGTTAAGGCAGGTTTAAGCCCTTGTTAACACTGTTGACAGATTGTTGCTTTCTATCAGAACTGGAATTACCTCCACAAAGACAACATCTGATGCCTGTGTCCAACCAGGAAGACTAGACATAACTAGGCAATGTTTTTAGTAATATCTTAAATATAATATTAAAAATAAAGTTAAATATGTTAAAGTGATAAAAAAGTACTTTAACCTGTCATATGCACTTTAAGGATTTCCTTTTATTCACTGGACTTGGGCATTGCACCTTTTCTTATGTAACGGTGTAAATAAAAAATGAAATTGGGATTTTGTTCCACCTCTTTTCTGACATGCAAGAGTTCTCTCTCAGGTTGATTTGAATTGACAGTTCACAGGATTTTTACTCTTCACATTTTCCTAACAAAATGAATTTTTATCTTTCCTGGCCTTAATGTCATCAGCCATTATCAAAAAAGTCAAAAGATTTATAAGGAACACATTAAAAAAATTTAATTACCCAAAAAAGTCTTGGTCAAAAAAGAAGGAACAGCCAATAAAGCACTAAAGGTTCATTGGGGATTGGAGACTAACAAAAACTCTTCCAGTCAAAACAAATGCCACGACTGATGTTCATAAATTGAAGTGTTCTCTTTTTTAAAGGAAAAATATTTCTGCTTCTAGGAAAAAGAGGGATGAGAAGTTTACAGTGAGTACACCTACTTTTTAAAATTAAAATATTTACTTTTTGTTTGGCCAAATTTAACACTAACAAACATAATTCACTCTTTTGTAACGGCATTTATTTTTACTTTTTCTCCAGAGAGTGACCCCTCCGTCACCACCCCCTAAACCCCCGTCTCCGAGGCTGGAGCTGGGTCTGTCCAGTTTCCCTCCTCTCCCTGGAGCAGCCGGTCAGCTCAAAACAGAAGACGTGTTTGAAAACCGACTGGCCAGCAGCGTCATCATCGGCAACGCCAAGGAACGGGTACGAAATCACAACAAGTCTCACATAAACGATGCAATTAAGATTCAGAAACGGATTTTAATTAAAAGTGTGGTCATTAGTCACCACATTGCTGATTAGCCCCGAGCATGCTTTCAAACTTTAATATGATTTTTTTCTTGAATAATGAAAGAGAAATTTAACATTTATGTTAAGCTCCATTATGCATGTTAAGTATTCTTTATCTTTATCGTCCTGCAGTCAAGACGCCATTGCTTTCAACACTCAAATTTCTGCTTCCCCCCCACACACACCCTCTGCTGTATATTTATTTCAATTCTTTATATTTGTTTAACGGGTGATGATCAATATTACGATTTAAGATAAAATATAAAATTATGTTCCATGGGTGCATAAGTTATCGGTGGTGAAGATCCAAGAGATAAATTCACAAATATTGAACATGATAATTTCTATTAATGGTAGATAAAAAAAAAAAAAACAACTCACTGTATTATAACAAAAAAGCATTCTAATAATAATAATTTTACTTGTCCCCATCTGTATTAAAAGATATTGGCCTATAGAATGTAGGGATGTAACAATAACCAAAATATCGTGATATCATATCGTCATAGTTCTCGCAATAATATCGTGGATCACCACAATATATCGAATTACAAGTCTCTTTGCTTAAATGAAGAATTATAGTGCAGCAACAGCTAAAAAAAAAAGACAGAGGGAACTTCATAGACCATGATCCTTTGCTCCATTTCAGTGCAGACTACAAGAAGAAATAACAATTCTAAGCACTTTTAAGTCGAAGTTCTTTGGATTAAGTCTTGTCAAAGCATTTTAAGAGGAAAAAGTAGCATATTAACAGTTTTAGTTGTTAAGCCTCCACAAAATATCACAATAAATATTGTACAGTGAGATGTATATCGTGAAAATATTGAAACTGAGAGATTTGGATATTGTTACATCCCTAATCGTGAGTCTCCCCACCATATCATGAGCTTTCCCACAATATCGCAATAAATATCGTACCGTGAAATTCATACCATGACAATGTCGTAACGTGAGATATGTTGGATATTGTTACAGCCCTAATAGAATGTTATGGTGTCACCTGAAACCCATTTACATTGTACTTCACCATGAAATATCTAAAAGGTAAATACGTAAATGTTGACCCTGATCATTTCTATTACTGACTAAACCCAAGAACTCACTTGCACAACAAAAACCTGCATTTGAACAATCTGTGACTCATCTGTATTGAATATTATAGGCCTATAGAATGCTGTGATGTCATCTAAAACCCAGCAATAACTACATAGCAGATAAAAGCATCATTTGTCTTGTTAAAGATGAGGTCTTATGAAAAATCTACTTTTTGGAGCCATGTTATAATGTTCCCTCATCAAAAACATGCCTGAATAGGTTTTATATGCCATCCATGCATGCTTGAGTAATCTAGGGATCTCTCCTGGGCCCTATTCAAACCCTTCTTATGGTTAGCTGTAAGATTTTGACCAAAGTGAAATGAATTAAACATGTTAATATGTTGTTCTTGGCGAGTAGAGCATTTTCAGAACAATAAAAGATAAAACATATCGTCTCGTTTCGTTTCAGAATGTAAATGCCGACTTGAACTCCGGAGCCATTTCTCCTTCGGGCCCCAAAGAGTCACAGCCATCGTCCACTTCCCCCAAACCGAGCAGCCTCCAGCCATCAGCCGTCACCACGACAACCACACCGACTCCCATCGCCACGGGAACGCCGCTCTCCCCCGCCCCCGTCTCCTCCACAGCGTAAGCCTAGACATTCTGACACACCAAATCAATCACAGCGCTCCTTCATCCAATAGATCAGAAAATAGAATAATACGGGCCCTTTGAGAAAATCCATTGTTTTTCTACCATTGTGTTTGTTTGTTTGTTTTTTCAGTGAGGTGAAGGTGGCTGAGGTGAAGGAGTCTCCGTCAGTGGAGCGAGTTCTTGGGACACAGTCTACTGCCAGTAAATCTGTGCAGGTCAATGGAGCTGCCACAGTGAGTGCTCAATACACTTCCATTATTTATCACAGCAATGAGCAATGATGTTTTGTGGGCACACATATTTCTAAAGTGGATTTTAGATTAGAGAAAGTTAGTTGAAGTTTCTAATAATTACTGGAGAAATATATCAAGACCATTGTCGCATTATCACACTACTATTACTCTTTCATCAGAAGTTACAATATTTAGTTTTAGTTCTAATTTTCCATAACCCTGAAACTCATAAATAATGAAGCAGTTGAGCAACGTTGATTAATAAATGTATTCATACCAGGTATTCAGGTATCTTTCAGACCTAGTATATATAGTATATCATATCATTTATTGATACTTTGCAGTGACATCACATTGGGGACGTTCTCCATGTATTTCTATAACAGAATGTTCAGCAGTTGCCATTGTGACACATAGCCTGATCAATAAGCTGCACCAGCCAAAAAAATCATAAGTCGCACCAGACTATAAGTTGCACTTTTTGGGGGAAATATATTTTATAAAATCAGAGACTAGGAACTGACATTTCATGTTGAAAGTCAAGTTCTAATAATAACAATAGAACAGAGAACAACAGACTGTTAACGTCACATATGAACAGTTCTTCAGATAAACTATAACATAAACAACAGAACAAGTTTATCAAACTCTCCATCTCACTCCAAATCACTAAATCCATTCAATTCTTCATTCTCGGTGTCACGTCTGAGCAACTCCGCTCCGACCTCCAGAGGTAAACAGAGCGACGCTTCCTCTACTGTGTAGCTGTCGTCAGCCTCAGTTCCAGTTAGAATTATTCCAGCCTTTCTGAATCTCGACAGGATGGTTTCAGTGTCACTGAAGTCCAGACATTGTCCGTCCATCCAGTGACTTCCAGGAAAGTTTCATGGTGCATCCTCCTGGTTGCAGTGAAGCTGTGTTCTCCATCCCCACTTTCCGCCAATCCCTCACAAGTTTCTCGCTCACTCCAAACTTTCTTTCTACTGCTCGATTACTATTTTTGGCTGCAGATTTCAGTACTTGCAAGACAGCGACTTTTTCTGCTGAAGACATGCGCAGTAGAGTGAAGTGACAGTGGTACAGTAGTAGCAGATACTGGCACACAAGCCTAGAGCACCCTCTTGTGGCTGTCAGTGTGAAAATTTTAATATATACGTTGCACCGGAGTATAACTCGCAGGAAACACCCAAACCATGAAAAAAGTGTGACCTTATAGTCTGAAAAATCAGGTATTTTAGAGCAACTTGTTTAATTGCACAAAAACAGCCGACCTGTTGTAGTCCCAGCTAAGTCAGTCTAACTTGAGAGCTTCAGATGAACATTCTCTGGGGGTGTGATGCTATCAGCTGCAAAGTATCAATGATACCAGACATTTGTACCTACAAAAAGACTGTGTTTAAAAGCTGGTTTCATTAATGAAGTTTGTTTTGTTTTTTTTTAGGAGTTGCGGAAGCCATCGTACGCCGAGATCTGTCAGAGAATCAAAGACTCTGCGTCCTCCTCGTCACAGGTGTCCTGTAAGGAGCCCAAACCCAGCGCTGAAGACCGGAAGTGCCCCGAGACAGCCCACCCCCCAGCAGGAGGCGACGCCACCCTCAACACCTCCACCGCCGCCAACAAGCCCCCCAGAGAAAGCCCCCAGCCGCTACCGGGACGATCGCAGCGGGACCCTCCTCGCCGACGATGGGCCTCTCCTCCTCCACTTCCAGGGAAAAGCAACATCAAAGACCCCCACCATACGCCGCCCAAGTCCCCCCAATAAAGCCCCCTGCCCGCACCCCCCGCTCCACCCTCCCACCCCCTGCTCCACCCTCCCACCCCAAACACGTCAGGGCTGTCTATCCCAGAATCAGCATCAAAAATCCATCAGAGGAGGCGCCTTCTTCTGATCAGGGCTCGCAGACAAAAGCACTTTACTGTGCACGTACAGCACCATTTCATTTGTTTTAGTCTAATTTATTTTTATTTTATTTCCTTTTTTGTTCATTTAATTTGGTGTTGAGTTTCAATAAGAAACAGTTGGTTGTTACTGGCCTTGTGGGAGTGGCGGCGATGGCATTGTCGTGCAGCTTTATGTAGCTAATATTATCAGCAAATATTAACATCTCATCCTCCCATTTGTACGTTTACAATATGATTGTGAATCATGTTTTATTATTTTTTTATTAGCAACTGTTTCCTCCGAGTTTGAGCTTGCCTAATCCTGCTGTGGTTTTTATTGGTTGCTAACTACTGCTTTCTACATTGCACGACAGTAAAGAAAAGGGGCATTCAAATCTGAAACCAGAATCTTTTAAAGGTGCACTGTGGAACTTTTTGGAGAGTCCACAGCCTGTTTTGTCTCCATGGAGATTAATGCTTTGGTTTTAATTGTCCACAGTATGGCATTAAACTAATCTGTCTTGCATTTTTCCAACTACAGGTGTTTTTTATTGCTCAAAAATATCTTAAAAAAACATTAACTCTTACTGTGACTGTCCACAAATCTAACCTGTTAAGTGGCTTGCAAGTCTCCATGGAGATTCAGAAGTTTATGGCCATATAGACACATTTCCATGGAGACAAGCAGGTGATGGAGCCACCACCAGACAAGTTACACAGTGCGCCTTTTAAAACACTTAATTTTCCAATTTACTGGCTTGGAATTTTTGAGATATTTGCAAATTAGTCCTTTCAAAATGGTGGAAGAAATACAGTGACGCACAACTGTCAAATTCATGAAGTCAATTCTTTAAACAAGTCTAGATTCAATTTGGTGAAGCAAACTCTGCCCTTTGGCTACATTTTAAAAAGGGCAAAGCATTTTCCAGAGTTTGGTGCTTCAAAAATGATCCTGTAGTGTATTCTCTCTATCTGCAAAGCAAAATCACCATCTCTATTTGAAAAAGGGAAGTTTGACGATCCCATCTGCTGTAAAGACGATTTTTGAGATTTCTGAGGAGTTTTCTGGGAGATTTTAGGTTTGGAGTTTCGTAAAGTGTGGGTTCTTTGAAAGTTGAAGTGAAAGGAACCAGTTGGAGACCAGTTGGGCAAAGGTTTGAGTGACGTAGAAAAAGTCGATGATGGGGAAATGAAACTTGAGTGAAACGCAAGACTTCATCACAGTCTCTTCTCTTCTTGAGTCTGTACCACTTTGAAGCGATCTGTCCACATGCTTCCCTGTGTCTGTCCTCCTTTAATGAGCAAAATGGGGCAAGATTAACCCAAGCACATAAAGGCTCCTCTGCAACAAAACGTGATCTTAAAAATAATAATAAAACTGCTTTAAAGCTTGGAACACTGTCTGGAGCAACCACTCAGACAGAAACTGCAGAAGTTTTAGTAAGAGAAAGAATTCCTCCTTTAAAAAAAAAACCAAAAAATTATTTATAAATACTGTACATAACCTTTTAACTATTATAATAAAGTACCATATTGTCAGCACTATATGGCGCTCTGTCTTTAAATGGTCTATTTTCAAACTTTTTTCACAAATAAACCGCACCGGACTTTAAACGAAACACAACAGTTTGATGGGTCAGTGGGACTTTGTTTGTGGCGTTCACTGTGACTCTCTGCTTTGTTCAAATGTGACGTTTAGGGAGTCTGTCTGGGACCGCTGGATTGTCGGCGTGTTCGCAGTGACTCAGTTGTTCAGTTGTGTCTAGAAGTGGCACATTGCGCTCGCTTTTTCGGTTTGTCCCTCCGTCCGGTCGTCGGCGTGGAGTGATGAGTGTGTCTGTGGGTGTTTTTCGCCGCGCAGTTGCTGTCTGCTCCGTGTGTGTTTGCGTGCGCTCCGGGTGGTACGGCTTTGTAATTTACTGAAGTCGTGCTGGGACACCCGAGTGGATTCGTGTATAGGGCGCTCTGGATTCGTTTTCGTTTTTTGATGGGGCGGAGGCTTAAGAGCGCGCCCAATAACCCAGAAAATAATGTGAATAAGATGTAAAAATGGACCACTTATTTGTTAACCTAATATGTTGGTCTTAAGAGGTCATGTTTTCTTCTTACACGTTTTCCATTCGCAAGAAGAAATTGAATTAGAGTCAAAACTGGGAGCTCGGAGTAGAGACACTGCTCCACCACATGACGAGGAGCTCATGAGTGATTCATTCTTTTTTTTCTTTTTTTTTAATTTGTTATAGACAGAGAGCGATCAAGCCATGAAAAGTGTGGCCCAACTTGAACAGTGTATAGAATCCCACATGGATACAATCGGACAAAAGTCGCACACAACTTGGAAATGCGAGACTTTATTTTGGAAAACGTCTAAAAAGAACTTTGGCTAGAGATCGGCGTAACAGAATCTCACTTTGTTGCTTCATACTTAACACAAAACAACTACACTATAGAAAAAGACTGCTTAAATATGAAGTACAGACAACAAACTCCACAAATAATCGGAAGGACGATGTTGAATAGAGAAAGTACGGTAGTGTGAATAGGCTCTATGGGAAGAGTGCAGTCTGTGGGCCTTTGTGTGCTTGGGTTAATCCAGCTCCACCTGAGATGCAATCCTCCATGTTTATCACAAACCACGGCGGTGTACATTTTCAAAAAGCCTTGTGGGACCTCGCTTGTCCCGCCAAAGTCTTCCTGAATCTAAAAAAAAACAAAGCATTCTGGGTAATTCCATACACAAAGCCAATGTGCTGAAGGGAATGATCTGACAAACTCCTGTTCATAGCATAGCATATTTTCATTTGAAGGACTGAAATGCACTTGGATGGCTTGATTAGATTTAATTTTTTCTCATCGGTGGAGATGGTCAAAGAGGCACACCATATCTGCTTATATTTATAAACCAATGCTGTTTATTCCATGAGAAATCTTTTGTTTTGAGAAAATACATAGAGACGCGCCTCTATATATTTACGCTAAATGTAAAGAAATGTCCATCCAGTGTTTGAGAAACTTGAATTTTATTTAAACTTGAAAAATGACTTTGCCTTAACTTTTTATACAAGAAAAGCATAGAGTTTATTTCTTTTGAGAAACCCCCTGAAGTGTGGAGAGTTCCCCCAGAGTTCAAATCTAGACGCATTTTCGTTTCTTTCCCTTGATTTTTGTACAAAAAATTGAATTATTTTGTTTTTGTTTGTGGGAAAGAATATTGTAAATGCAAACCTAGTCAATACTGTATTAAATCTGTGCACTTTGAAGTGTGTGCTTTGCCTGTACAGTTGTAAATAATCAGAAAATATAAGAGGTACCTTAAAATGATTATAAAAATATATTGATCTTGTCGAATTATTAATGTTGAGCTGGATGTAGGATATAAAAAACGTATTGTTGTGCTTTCGGAGATATTTTCTTCAAAGTTTTTTGTTTGTTTTGTTTGCGAATGTTTGGATTCTGATTGTATGTTGTTGTTTTTTTTTTTCCTCTCATTCCATGATTTGTACCTGTCCAGGTGTGAACAGGTGACTTAAGCCCCGCCCCCTGCTGCCTTTAGTTCCGTTCGTGGTACTGACCAAGTGCCCACTGACGTCTCACCGTATCAAGCAAACCCAGTGATGTGACAGTGGTTGAATTTTAGGAAACGGATAAAAAAAATCTTGCTTTAAATACTGACTTACATGGCTTTATGAACAGAGTCAATGTCTGGACATGGAGTCGTGTTTTAAAACATGACACTAGAGTAATGAGGTGGAAAAACAACTGACAAAAAAATGCTAAAAATCTATAGAAAAAGTAAATAAAAAAAAAAAAGCCAAAAGTGTAAAAATAGGGGAAATATTGAGCAGAAAATAGAAAAAAAGCCAGATATTTATGAAGATACTTACACATAAAATAAAAAAATATGGAAATCTTGGAACTATAATCAAACAAATGATTACAAATTTATTTAAAAATTGTTGACAATCCTGAAAAATTCTAAATAATAATAATAAATTGGTGAAATTAGGAATATTCTAGATGAACATTTCCTACCCGAGTCTGACCCGCATGACAAAAATACTATAAAAATACAACAAAAAAAGAAAAAAATACGCTAATTTGCTTAGTATGAGTAGTCACAAAATGTAATTAAAGATAAAAAAAAAAAAAAAACTTCAGTCATTACATAATTTATTAATACAGAAACAAAAATTGGCTGAATTTTAAAGTTCACCAAGTTGATTTTCGTACCTAATAAGCCTCGTGGGATTCAAGCCAGTGTTTCTGTATCACTGCAGTAACAAAGATGGATTCTTATGTTGAGCAAAAACATAGAAGTAGCTTTAATATCTGGAGATCTCTTTTCTAAACTCAACCAAAATACTTTTTTCCACTTTCATCGCAATTCTCACAATCTTTATCAAAATGAAACGCAGCCACTTCAGAGTAAAACTGAATTTTCGTGCCGCATTTGGTCAGCATCAATTCGACTCTAGTTTGGAAATTGATCGTATAATGCACTTTCCTTCTTTGTTGATTCCAGTTGTGACGATGTGGAAAAGTATTTGAGCAAATTCATACTAGGATTGTCAAAAGTACCAAAAATCAGATACCAATTTAGATACTCGGAGACTCATTTAAGCAAGTATCGATCCCGCAAAAGTCTGATTAATAGAACGACAATTTGAGCTTTCCTGAACAGTTTTAGTGCAATTCGAGCTTTGTCCGAACGAAAATAAGACCTCATGCCGAGCTAAAGGAAGTATTTGTATCTGAACGTGACATTCTATAACGAAAAAAGGACTATTGTGGTATCATAATCCGTATCAAGCATGGCGCGAATTCCTTTCTATCGAAATCGAGTTTGAAATTTGAGTGTCACGGTGACGCTGATTCGTGGAAGCCGTCCGTCCTGGGTTGGTCTTGAGGTGACGTCCGGTGGGGCACTAGTTCTCTGGTGCTTCGCAAAAGTCTGATGTGATTTCTGTCTGCGTTTCGTCATGTGATCAAAAGCCGTGAAGCCATTTTACAAGGCCTGAATATTTAAACGAACTCGACGCAATATCGTAGAGTTACCGTAATTTGACAAAGCACCGTCGCCTTCTATCTTTTCGTTGAGGTTCGAAGGTTCCTTCTTACACAAAATGGGTTCTTTGTGAGCTTTAAGCCATGTTATAATGTTATTACCTCGTCAGAAACATGCCTAGAGTTTTGTTTTGTTTCATTCACATGTTTAAGTCGAAGTTCAGTAGAGATTTGAATTTGTTTGTTTGAATTTATTCTCCAAACTACAGGTATGTTTTCGACGAGGAAACGTTATTTAACTTAACATCGATCCAAAAATACCGCGATATATGCCCTTTAAATGACAGAACAATATTTTGGTTGCAAATTAGTTTCTTGTGGCCTGGATTTTGTCTTTAAAATCATTTTGGAGAGATTTTCCCAGTACCAAAATCTATGCACGAGACGACTTGTTGGCGAAGTTGGCGTAAGAATGAATCCTACTGATCACACGACGAAACTAAAACTATAAAAAGCACATAAAAAAACACAGGAAACACATTAGATCTTCTGCCTTTTTGTGAAAAGATGGGAATTGGATTTTCGTGCAAATTTGAAACGGGCTACATTGTCGATTTGAAAAAGTGAAACTAATTCCTGTCAAACGAAACTATTCAAATTCGCCAAAAATCCTTAGCGCTGCTCGTCTCTCATTTTGTTCATAGTTTCCCTTTTGATGTCTGTTAACTTTTACAAGAAATCGATGTACAAATGTTTATTTTGGGGGCTTTTATTTTGTATTTTTTCTGATAATGGAAGGGAGAACAGAGCCCAGGAAGGAAGCGGCTCTCGGAGATTTGTGGCACATAGCGCTCACCTAGCTAACATCACACGGACAAACTTCAAAACCTACCAAAAACTGTGCCATTTCCTGTCATCTTTTACACTCACTGCAACGGAGGAACTTGAAATGAAACTTTGAAGAGACACGCCAGCGTCGTTTCGCGCTGTCCGAGACCCGATTGGACGAACCACACGGATATACAAAACTGTGCATGGGTGGGTTTTTCCCGCCGTTTTCTAACTGTCCAACGTGGAACTGTCGGAACTATCGCAGGTCTCGCGTTTTCCTGCCAAAACGAACGCTAACTTTCCGAACGGACTTCTCGCGAAGCCTCGATCTGTGCTTGCGGTTTTGACAGTGCCATTTTGAAGTTCCTTGTATAAAAATGGACGGCTGCTTCTTCGATCTTTTTTTTTTTTAAACGATACTACCGAATGCAACTGACTGGACTCCTAATCAACTCACTGTGGTTCTAACACTCGCTAACAGCTTTGGACAATCGAAAACTCCGGTTGCGTGGAGTTTGCAAACTTTGGACGAGGAGGTTTGAGTTCAACGAGGGCTTCTTGGACTACTGTTTGTGTTTTTGGTTACCTTTTCTTTGGTTTACTTTTCGGGGCTATTCTTCCATGGAGACTGGAATCAAGCGCTCACGACGGCTCTAGATCATTTAAGTTACTCTTGTGTCATGATGTAAAACTGTCTAATTTGGAGAAAAATGTAGCTTACTGAAAAATAAAGATTTAGGCACTGATGAGGAACCATGTGTGTCCTGGTAATTTTGTGAGAACAATTGAAGGAAAAAAGTTGGCATTGCATTAGGTTTATAATGGGCCTAGTGCATATTCACTGTTTAAATGATCTGTCAGGTCACATATGAAATCAGCTGTTTTTTAAGGAATCTCCCCTATGTGCCATTTTAGATTTGGCTGCAAAAAAAATCTAAAATGACCAAACCTAAATTTTAGCTCAATCCCTTGAGTCGTTCCTGAGTTATGGCCCATTGAAATTTTGGGGCCATGCTCACTTTTTCTGACACCCTAATTTATAAGCATTTTTGAGAGACCATAAGTTCATCAAAAATAGAGCTAGGAAGATGAAAATTTGTATTATTGTAGATTCTTGGTCATAGATTCTGAATTGCAGCAATGTACCACAAATAATCTCCAATTGTCTTCCCTTCTAACAAGCAAATGTTTAAGACTATTAAAGATAACTGAACTTTTCTAGCAGGTGGAGAAGTCCCTAAGCTCCACCCAAAATGACCCCTGAGAGCTCATTTTCAAAACTTCCGTTTGAAATGAAGGACGTTAATTGTAGATGTTTTTATTACTTCAAACTAATCAGAATATGCCAAAGGTCACATTTGGTCTGTGACACTATTTGGGGCTCTACATCATCCACATGAAAGCTCAGAAAAGTGTGAGACTGTTGTCAGAAATGGTCATTCTCTCAAATATTCAGGTTCAGTAGTGAGTTTGTAAATATCTGCTTGAGACAGATAGACCAATAGATAGACCTCAAAAAATTCAGCCAAATTTGAGATTTTAGGGGCCCACAGCACCCCCCTTAATAAAGATACCCAATATTTGATTTAGAATCTATGACTAAAAATCTACAATAATACACATTTTTTATCTTCCTAGTTCTATTTTTTAGTTCTGGTCTCTCAAACATGATTATAAACTAAGGCTTCAGAAAAAGTGAACATGGCCCCAAAATTTCAACAGGCCATAACTCAGGAACGACTCAAGGGATTGAGCTAAAATTTGAGATTCTTTCATTTGGTCACTTTAGAATTTTTTTTTTTTTTTTGAGAGATGAGATGGCTCATAGGGGAGGGCAGCTGATTTCATGTGGACCGACCCACGTTTGTTTTACAGCCAATCATTTAAATATAAATGTTTTCAAAAATATCAGCAAAACATTTTATAATTCTAATACTTTTATTTTAATTATTATATATATTATATTTTTTTGACAATGCAGGTTCACTTGTGATTTGATTTATTTTAGAAACAATAAGATTTCAGGCTACATTCTCTACTTTGTAAGATTTTTATTTTCCATTCATCCATTTTCTTCCTCTTATCTGGGGCAGCAGCAGTCTGAGCAGGGACTTCCAGACTTCATTCACCACAGACACTTCCTCCAGCTCCTCCAGCTCCTTCAGCTCCTCCAGCTCCTCCAGCTCCCACAGGGGGACCCCGAGGCGTTCCCAGGCCAGCAGAGACATAGTCCCTCCAGCGTGTCCTGGGTCTTCCTTGGTGGGACGTGCCCGAGGGAGGTGCCCAGGAGGCATTGCCTAGAAATACTCCTGGAAATTCTGTCCGGCGCAGGCTGCCCTTAGTCTAGATTTTTTAAAATCTCCCAGTCGTCCAGGTAGAATCCATGGCAAAGCAGAAATTCAATTTGTCAACTGGACAATTTTTGAGCAGGACAAAACCTGACTTATATGTGTGCCCCCAGATATCAGGTAACCAGATCAGATCAAATATGGCTTTTATTGACAACAACTGCAGTGTTGATTTATTCTTAATTACAGAAACACTGGACATGCCATCCTGATAGTTTACAGTATTTATGTTTTGGTGTTTTTGTTCTTAAGATGATTATTCAGTCACATTCAGCAGAAATCACCTCTCTCTCATTTGGGCTGCCATTTTCCCTGCTGAAAAACCTAAAATGCGTCTGATCTGAATCCTGACTACTTAAACCCAAGAATCTGCAGCCAGTCACGAGTCAGAGCCAGTGCAGCCTTTGAATACTGAAGCTTCTAAACTTTCACAGGAAGTATCGACTGTCTATACACTGAGAAAAACTCCTATGTGTCCTCTGTTGTGTTTTGTGTAAGATCTGACTACATACAGTTTCTTAAAGCTGCTCTGTGTAACATTCTGGTTGGGGGGATCCATCACCTGCTTGTTTCTATGGAGATGTCATTGCTCTGCCTGGAATGTCCCACAGTGTGACATTAAACAGCTCGACCTTACATTTATTCAGTTGATTTTATAGCTCAAAAATACTGTATCTAGAAAAACTGAGCGGTCGCCTCTCCACAGATCTGACCTGCTGTAACTTGGTCTGGTTTGGTCTCCATGAAGATAAAAAAAGATTAATGTCATACTGTGAAACATTCCAGACAAAGCCATAACCTTTCCACACACACACAAAAAAAGCATTTGGCTAACCCCTGTGCCGGAAAAGTTACACAATGCACGTTTAAGAAGAGCAATGGTCACACTTGCCTGTTTGGGTGTGTTCCGTCTTTGTGCTGGAGCCAATAGGAAATGAGGAAATGAGGATTGTAGGAGGCGAGTGAACACTTCAGAGACACGGCCTTTGACAAACACTGATGTAAAGTCACACATGACAACAGCCATGTGCTTTGTGCTGGAAACAAATGAAATTAAATCAGACAGTTCTGGTGAGGAAGCAACTTTTTTCTTACGCAACCTGTAAACTGACAGTTAGAAATGATGTACAATATCCTGACAAACCTTATTTTGACATGAGTGTGATGTGGGTCAGGGCTTCCAAAGCATGAGCAAGTATCAGTAACATGACAAGTGATAATACTGTTTTACTTTTTCTGATATTTGCCAGTTTAGTTTTTGCATATTTCTAGTCAAAATCTACATGTAACAGCCAGAAAAAAATGGACTGATTGATTAAATTATTTGGGTCACAGGTGTATTCTGACATTATAACACACAGACTGAAAAGGTGGAGGCTGAAACTTGATCTTATTCTGCCTTTACTACCTTTTATTCCTTTATCAGAGCATCATCTTGAAACCTGTTCATCTTCGTAAATACAGCAAGAAGAAATAAACAAATCAGTAACAGTACAGCAAAGTACTACAGCACAAACTAAGTCTCATAATTCATGTGTCTGTCCAGAGTTACACATTTAAACTTCTTTTTAAAATAGAACAGAGTGGTGCACATTTTTGGATCTTCTGTACAGTTGTTCCAGAGCTTCGCCCCTTTAACAGATTTACAAAATTTCAAAAACAAAATGTTCTGATTTTCATTTTGTTAAACATGGCCGCACCTCTGAGCTCATATCTGGGATTTTGAACATGTTCTGTAATGATTTTGAAGAGAGTGTTGTTTACTTTGAACATGATTTTTAAAGTGTAAAGGTCGACCAAATTGTAAAATTTCAGAGTTTGAAGGTTTATAAATAACACGTTGGTTGATTCATTATAAGTTGATAATGTGATTGCTCTTATTACAAGTAAAGATTGGATTTGTATTAGGTTTATATGTATTGCCCCAAATCTCAATATAAACAGCAGCAGAGATGGGGACTTGCAAGTCATGACTTGGACTCAAGTCAGACTTGAGTCACTATTTTTAGGGCTTTAGACTTGACTTGATAAAATGGACTAAGACTTGGGTCTCGACTTGGACTTGAAGGTCAGTGACTTGGGAAGACCTGAGAAGCACTTTTAAATGTGAATTCTTTCTATTCTGACTGTAATGATTCACACTAAGATCTTGTCAAGACATTTAAAAATGTAAAATTTTAATTACTACTACTCTTATTTACTCTATAAATACTCATAAATATACTATGACTTTATAAGTACAATTTATCTTAAAATTCATGTAAACTGCAAAAATCTAAGCTATATTTAGTACTTTAGTTTAAAGACTTGAAATGACTTTAAGTTCAAACCAGACGACTTAGACTTGACTTGGACTTATAACAGTGATTCGAGGCTTGACTTGGACTTGTCTGTATTTGACTTGGGACTTGACTTAGACTTGAAGTCAAAGACATGAGACTTACTTGAGACTTGCAAAACAATGACTTGGTCCAACCTCTGGCTGGTTCTGTCGGACATTACCAGCCAGTTGTATATAATAAAAAGACTTTATTTAAGATATATTGATATTTAGATATAATTGAGATTACTTTGGATAATGTATTGCTTTGGATAATTTATTATATGTGTGATTTCCAGTTTAAATTCAGTCTGTAGTTATGGTCTACAGCTAAAACCTTGTTTTCAAAGACTTACTACACTCTAGTGGTGTATCGTTGAGCATAATCTGTACATCATTTTGTACTTTTTCGTTTTGCAAATATCATAAGTTTATTTTTTTTCAATGTATAGTGACAATTTATTAATATCAAACCAGACTTTAATTTTCTGCAGCTCCCTCTCCACCATTTGAAAAAGCTGTGTGTGGTGTTCGCCTGAGCAGCAGAGGGTGGTATCATCTGCAAACAGAACATGATTTAACTATTTTGATGCGGAACATAAAACATTTATATAAACAATAAATAGTCAGAAAAAGAAATCAGATTACTCACATCAGATGCAAATGTTTACAATATATTTCCATATATATATTTTTTAGAGCTAAACTTCCCAAACACTGATTTATGGAGACTCTATGCAGTGTTTGCGTTTAGCCGCCAGAGGGCAGTGTAACATAGACCCTAATTAATAACAAAAGTGGCGGCAAAGAGACGAGCAAAACAACACATTGTGATTTGGAAAATGCATATTAACAGTTATGTCATTATGATCAGCAAAATGTAGTTTCAAAGTGTCTTGATTACAGTTTATTTTTGTGTCTTAAACGCATCACGGAGCGCTGTTTTGATTGCGCAAAGGAAACACGAGCGGTAATGTTCTAAAATCATGGAGCGTAGTTAAAACTGAAAATGCCAGAGTGGGTGAAGTCACTGAGATAAACAGATCCGTTTGTTGTCCATCTGTTTCCAGTGAATATTCCCAGTCACTTTCAAACCCTGATGGAAAACAGCCGGCAGGAAACACACCTTTCACAATAAGAGCACTCCAAAGCACCTGTTGAACCCAGAGAGTGTCAGGCAAATTCTATTCCACTCACATTGTCCTAGAGAAGGGGACAGAGGGACTTGGTTAGTTGATTAATTTTCAATGTTTAAACACACTTTTTGCACAGGCATGACAATCAGCATTAGCCAACAGGGCACTTTAACACGGACACTTCTAAATGCGTGTTCATTGACAATTAGGTCGAGGTATAACTGATTAACTCTAGCAGATTATGACCCTGACTCTGTTCTTTTATAAGGTAAAGGTTGTGGCTCATATAGCAGCACATAGTTGTAATTGTTGTGTCCCAGCGCACCGCCCTCCTGCCGTTCACTCACATTATAACCCACTTCAAACTTCATAAGAAGTCACAGTGCAGCGGGGACAAGAGCAGCAGCACCCCGTGGATCAAATCTTCCTGTTTAAATTCAAACTGTGGATGATTATGTCCGTCTCGAAAGATGTGTTCATGTTTTAGCAGCTCCGTGATCCTGTAGGTTTATTCTCTTTTTCTCTTATTGTGAAGGTCCGCGCTCGCTCCGCTTCCGGCGCGCTCCTGCCGCGCGTTGACAGCGCGGACACGGCGCGGACAGTTGGAGCGGCGCGGCTCCGCTCTCAGTCTGAGTCTGGACTCTTCTCTGTGGATATTTGGATTAAGCGGCGCCTTGAGGAGTGAAAAGCCCGGAGAAGGAGGCGCTTTTACCGGCGGAATGGCGGACCGGGACTCGGTGGCTCTTCCCGCGGAGGTCCGGGCCCGACTGGCCGAGCTGGAGCTGGAGTTATCCGAAGGTGAGTGCACGCTGGGCGGCTGCGGTCGGTCCGCTCACGGGCGAACTTCACGTTTGGGAGTGAGATCCCGGGGAGATCTCGGGGCGATGTGGCGTGGTGTCCGCGGTGTGTGTGTGTGTGTGTGGCTTTGGAGCTGTGACAGCCGCGGGGAACGCGGTCTAGACGAGATGTTTTTGTGAAGTCAACATGAAGATGGGACTGGACTCAGCTGGAGTGAGCTGCTGGAGTGTGCACACTTGGAGGAGTGACATATTTTCATAGTCTTGTCATTTCATAGTTCTTTCCCACAGAAACAACATCCACTTCAAACATGTCTGCAAAACTGGAGCAAACTTTAATCGTGTACAGTGTGTAGTGTACAGTGTGTAGTGTACAGTGTGTAGTGTACAGTGTGTAGTGTGTACAGTGTGTAGTGTACAGTGTACAGTGTACAGTGTGTAGTGTACAGTGTGTAGTGTACAGTGTGTAGTGTACAGTGTGTAGTGTACAGTGTGTAGTGTACAGTGTGTAGTGTACAGTGTGTGTGTAGTGTACAGTGTGTAGTGTACAGTGTGTAGTGTACAGTGTGTAGTGTACAGTGTACAGTGTGCACTGTGCAGTGTGCACCAGGGCTGTTCTTAGAAGCCTTGGATCAGGAGGTGTGTTTGGATCTTCACTCCAGGGTCATGTTGTGAGATCAGGTTATGAGCGAGTTCTTCCACTGTTGACACTGTTACTTTGTTCTGAACCGTATCACTGCAGAATTATTAAGGGACGGTTTTAACATTTCCTGTGACAAATATGACCAAATATTATTATAAGATTAAAAGATTAGCCAGTGTATTTCAGAACATGCATGTCGAGAGAGAGAGTCATGCACAGCGCTGCCAGGTTAAACAGAACATAACAAGAAGAGACTGGAATTGTTTGTGTTTTGCAGTGAACCTTTCCTAAGTAAATCCAGTATTTATGTTTTTCTAAGTGATACACTGAGAGTAACAGAGACTACTACTTAATCTGAGACATTTTACACCTTTGTCCTTTCCTGTGCTTTGCTTGGGGCGTCCTATTCACTATTAATGTAATTTAATCTAAACTGTAACTATTCCTCTGCTCTAAATGTGTCCAGTGTTACAGGACTAAACCAGGACTTAGCCCTGAGCGGTCCAGATATTACAGGTCCTGGACCACACCCAGACCCACAAGAACAGGTGCTGCACTGACAGGGACTCACCACTAGGGGCGTCTAATGATAATACACATACTACACAGAAGGACGCAATAACCAGGACCAAACCAAGTCAAACCCAAGACAAGAACTAGCCCAGGACTAAACCAAGATCAAACCAGGACCAAACCAAGTCAAACCCAAGACAAACCCAGAACTAGCTCAGGACTAAACAAGGACTAAACCAGGATCAAACCAGGATTAAACCAGGACTAAACCTGGTTTAGTCCTGGTTTAGTCCAAGTCAAACCCAAGACAAACCCAGACTAGGACTAAACCGAGATTAAACCAGCTCTGGACCTGGACTAAACCAGGATCAAACCAGGACTAAACCAGGACCAAATCAGGACCAAACCAGGAATAAACCAAGAAAAAAACCCAGGAATAGTCCAGGACTAAACCAAGATTAAACCAGATCTAAACGTGGACTAAATCAGGATCTGGACTAAACCAGGATCAAACCAGGACTAACCAAACCAGGACTAAACCAAGTCAAACCCAAGACAAACCCATAACTAGCCCAGGACTAAACCAAGATTAAACCATCTCTGGACCTGGACTAAACCAGGATCAAATCAGGTCCATAAGTGGAGTAAATCAGGATTTAAACTAAACCAGGACCAACCAAACCAGGACTAAACTAGGACTTAACCAAATATAAACCAGGACCAACCCTGGACTAATCCAGGTCTGAACTAGAACTAAACCAGGGCTAAACTAAGACTAAAGTTAGACCAAAACAGAACTCACTCAGGACTAAACCAGAACTAAACCAGGACTAAAGAGGACTCAGTAAATCCAGGATTAAAGCTGGACTCTTAAATGTCCGTATCCTCTTGGACTCTTCTGTGATATTTTGGTGAAAGGCCCGTCCTGTGTCCTGCGTGCTGATTGGCTGTCACTGGTCACATGACCCTCCCATTTTAAACCATTACTCAGTGAGCGTCTAAAGACTATTGATTTCTACATTAGCCGTCCACTCGCCTCCCAACTTAAGCCATAAAACTGGAATTTAATTACTACTACTACAAATGTGTACTACAGGAATGGTACTACAACTTTTGGGTACTGGATGTATAGAGTATATAGCCTATAGTAGACATTTAAGTACACACAAGTCACACTACTGCCGCATATTAAAAAAGTACTAATACTAATACATGTCATACTTTATACTTTATCCACAAGTAAAACTACACTGTTCTAGCTAAAGAAACAGTGTTACCATGGAAACAAGCAGGATGAAGCCTCCCTCCTGGTCAAATAAGAGTGAGGTTTGTGGAGAGGCAAGCTCACTCACAGTAAAGACACGTGTTTTTCAGTGCAATACTACTACTACTACAACTGCTACTACTACCAACACTACTACTACTACTACCAACACTACTACTACTACTGCTACTACCACCAACAACACTACTACTACTACTACCAACACTACTACTACTACTACTACTACTACTACTACTACTACCAACACTACTACTACTACTACTACTACTACTACTACTACCAACGCTACTACTACTACTACTACTACTACTACTACTACTACTACTACTACTACTACCACCAACACTACTACCAACACTACTACTACTACTACTACTACCAACACTACTACCAACACTACTACTACTACTACTACCAACACTACTACTACTACTACCAACACTACTACTACTACTACTACTACTACTACCAACACTACTACTACATTTCTGTTTAACTGTGCAAATAACTGAAAGGTTTTCATTCCGCAGTCTTCTCTCCAATTTATGTCTCTCTTTTTTAATTTTAATCTTCATGATTATTTATGTTTTGATTTGTTTTTATTATGATTTTAATGTATTTCTTATTCTGTAAAGCACTTTGAATTACTTTGTGTACGAATTGTGCTATACAAATAAACTTGCCTTGCCTTGCCTACTACTACTACTACCAACACTACTACTACTACTACCAATACTACTACTACTACTACTACTACTACTACAACTACTACTACTACTACTACTACTACTACTACTACTACTACTACTACTACTACTACTACACTACTACTACTACTACTACACACTACTACACTACTACTACTACTACTACTACTAACTACTACTACTACTACTACCAACACTACTACTACTACTACTACTACTACTACTACTACTACTACTACAACACTACTACTACTACTACTACTACTACTACTACTACTACTACTACTACTACTACTACTACTACTACTACTACTACTACTACTACTACTACTACTACTACTACTACTACTACTACTACTACTACTACTACTACTACTACTACTACTACTACTACTACTACTACTACTACTACTACTACTACTACTACTACTACTACTACTACTACTACTACTACTACTACTACTACTACTACTACTACTACTACTACTACTACTACTACTACTACTACTACTACTACTACTACTACTACTACTACTACTACTACTACTACTACTACTACTACTACTACTACTACTACTACTACTACTACTACTACTACTACTACTACTACTACTACTACTACTACTACTACTACTACTACTACTACTACTACTACTACTACTACCAACACTACTACTACTACTACTACCAACACTACTACTACTACTACTACTACTACTACTACTACTAACAACTACTACTACAAGAACTACCACCACCACTACTACTACTACTACTACTACTACTACTACTACTACTACTACTACTACTAGCTACTACTATAACTACTACAGCTACTACTATAACTACTACAACAACTACAACTACTACTTCTACTACTACCACCACCACTACTACTACTACTACTACTACTACTACTACTGCTACTACTACTACTACTACTACTACTATTACTGTTACTACCATCACTACTACTACTACTATTCTAAAGTATGTCCTGGTGCCACTGTGTTGTGTAAATGTGTGTATTTTTACTGCAGGAGCTCACATGAGTCAATCCCACAGACAGTTTCACGTTTCAGCTTTTTGGATTCTGAGTTTCCCAGAGTCGCCCGTGAGGAGAGAAGGAGAGGAGGAGAGAAGGAGAGGAGGAGAGGAGGAGAGAAGGAGAGGAGGAGAGAAGGAGAGAAGGAGGAGTGAGAGAAGGAGAAAGTGAAGGAGAAGACGAGAGAGAGATTGAGTGGAGGAGAGAGGGAGAGAGGGGAAGTGATTTTATCAGCTGACTGCAGACGTACACGACGCTGCTCCGCTCCTTCAGATGAACTCAGAGAAGCGTGAAAAGTTGCTGGCTCAATTCACGACTCTAGAATTGCATACTTTTGTTGTGCTATTGGGCAAGATGGGGCACAGAGTATGAACTACACTGCATACAAAGTTGCTGCTTCAGTTCATGACACTAATTGCACACTGGACTGGAAATTATGACTTAAGTCTTTGCCAATTTCTAGTTTGCATCATTCATATTTCGATTCTTCATCATTCTTTCATTCCTCTGTAGCCCGACGCTCTCATCAGACTTCTAGAATATTCCTATACATCTCGCTCTGACTAAAATTGGGGTCACATGCCCGGCTGCATTATTTACATCACATACACACGCACACACCACGCACACTTCTGTACCATGGCCCTCCTGACCCAGATCCAGCGTTTAGACGTCTCAGTGACCCTCCCCCTCGACTCTAGGAGATCACCGAGGGCTTTGAAGCATCTTAGACATTTTTTGTTTCCTAAATATAGCTTTCATTTTTGGATTTGCTTCATTTTATTTTTTTCTGTGTGTATATATTATC